TCTGTAGATGCTCATAGTTAGTCAAAGGCACATTTCTGCCACTCTGCTAATTTAAAGCTAGACCCTAAAAGGCTTGGCTTTGACATTTTTTATATTTAAATATTTTTGTTTCCTTACCAAAGGCTGTAGCCTTAGGAAACCTAAATTACCCTACAGAACTTTGCTTAACTTTGCTTTATAGTCAGTCTGAAATAAGCTTTACTAAAGCAGAAGTCTGAGTTTGAGGAGTTCAGTACCTGGGGGTTGCTGGCATACCACTCCCAGGTGGTGTGCTTCTCCTGAACTCAGGGCCTCGGCAGACGGCTTAATTGAGCCGTCTCCGAGGCCAGGAAGAGGAGGGGCCACCGCACGCGCGGCGGCCCTTCCTCTTCCTGAGGTCGCCCTGAACGCTTCCGGGCCACCGGACGTCCGGCGCGTTCAGGGCGACCTCCTCCCGCAGCGTCCGGACGCGCTGCGGGGGATAAGTCAGAGAAAGGGCGCCCGCCGCTTTTAGGGCGCCCTTTCTCTGACTTATGAAAGGAGTGCCTTTTTGGCGCTCCTTTCAGGGTCGCTCTAGGAGCGCCGCGGTGGGGCTGCCATAGCCCTGCGGCGCTCCGGACCAGGGCGTCCCAAACGCCCTGGTCTGCAGAGGGGGTTAGTCTCTTTAAGCTTAAATTTGTGCCCGAAATTATAAAAGTTGTGCTTCTTATCAATACAGGGTTCTCCTTTGCCTTTTGGAAGACAGTTAGGCTGGGACTTGTTCTTGGTAAGGGGGAGACTCTTTGGACAAAGATTGGGAAATCTGAATCTTTCCCCACTGATTCAGGGCTCTCTCTTGAAGCCTGTAGCACTTAACAAGGGGGTGACATGGCAGCATCCATAATGGCAGATCTGCCCCTTACAGTATACTGTTACTAGAGGAGACAGAATCCTACAGCCAACATTATATTCATCAGAAATTAAATCGTAACACTGGAAAAGAACTGTTATCCAGCTGGCACCTTTTCTTTGGAATTTTCAGACTCAGTATGTATGCAGAGCTGGAATCTTTAGAAACCATCTGGGGGGAAAATCAAATATTTTATTTTATTTTATCATGTCCTTAGAGTAAAATGAACCTGTAGACTTTCATGGGTCTGATTTTAATTCCATGACTCCCTAGTTGTTCTGCTGCGTCACTGTAAAATTCTTTATTTTATTCATAATTTGTGGCATTACTTTATTTTATGTTGCTTCGAGTGCCCACTGGTAGAAAGATGGGATAGAACCCATACCTGAGCACTGTGCATTTTTCAAAGTTCAAAGCAACTGTTTTTTATAATGACTATCATTTAGCAATGCACAGGTCATTTGGAGTTCGAGACAGGAGTCAGTGAGGCAGGCTGTGGAAGGAAGATCAAGTCTTCTTGTGATGGAGAAAGAAAAGGCATTTTTAGTTTTTCCAGACTCTTGAGCTAGTAGGAACACTGTAGAAAAATTGAGTAGGCTGACAGAAAAAGAAAGGAAGAAGATGAGGAAAGAGCAGGGCTAGCCATGCTATCAATGAGAATATTGGAGTCCTGGCTGATTAATTTGTTGGACAATGTTTCAAGGGGAAGCTGCATGATGGATGCAATGATGGTGACAGGCCAATCAATCATGACTACATAGCCACTGAAAAGAAAACAGCTGTGGCATTTAAAAAGAGTCAACCAGGAACTAGGCTTGTTCAGTGACTGCTGCTGGGGATTTGGAAGAGAGCTTTAGCCAAGAGCTGGTAAATTTTATATTTGGATTACATCTCCCAGAATTTCCCAGCCACATTAGTCACTGGGCATGCTGGCTGGGTTCTTCTGGGAAAGAAAGTCCAAAAAGGTACTTTCCCAAGTTACTTTTGCTTTTATTTGCCAAAACTGGGACTTTCAGCCATTTCTGCATAGACGTTATGCCAAATGCCTTGCAATCTACCAGTTCTTAATTCGGGGGGGGGGGAATCACTAATGGGGGGGAATCAAACCTCAGTGTACACTGGTAAGAGTATAGAGAACAATTGAAGGAGAAAATCAGGTTGGATTCCCTTTAAGTTAGGCAATCTAACATTTTTTTTATCACCACAGGACTCTGTACATTCTGATTTGCACCTTATTCAGATTTTTTTAGAAGCTGGCATCTTTTCATCTCAGCTATAAAGGAATTTGCAAACATTGATAAAATCTTGTCAAAACAGAAATGACGCTAAATGCTCCCCAGTTTGCACCAATGGAGACAGCTATTCCTAGCAGGAGAATGACCAGTGGCTCTTTCACACTATGCAATCACTACACTGTGGTTCCATTTTAATTGCCCATGATTTCATCCTGTGGAATTCTGGGATTTGCACTGGGGGGGGGGATGTTTTGAATTAGTGGCCAGAGAGCTCTAGTGCCCCATGGACCTACAAACCTCAGGACACCATAGATGCAGTCATGGCACTTAAAAGTGAGATCACCGCACCAGTGGCATCACTAGGGGGGGTGCGGTGGTATGGACCACACTGGGTGACACTCCCCACTGGGGGAGGGGGAGTGCCCCTGACTCTGCTTCCCTGCAATGGTAGTGATTCCTCACAAGGAGCCACCACCAGCAACATGGAGAAGGACAAGGACAAGGGTAGACAGCCATGCTTCCTTGCTGTGGCAATGGTTTCTCACAAGGAGCTGCCACCACCATGGGGAATGAGAAGGCTAAGCACCCCCAGCCCTGCTTACTTGCAATGGTGGCGGTTCCTCATGAAGAGCCCCGGCTACCACAGGGGACGAGAAGGACAAGCACCCCCAGCCCTGCTTCCCCATGGCGATGGTGGTGCTTCCTCATGAGGAGGCCACTACAACCATGGCAAAGGAGAAGGAGTGAACATGGCCTTTGGCCCATGCCCCTTGCAGCCCCACCCTTCATACTGGGTGACACTGGGGGGTGGCAACACCACTGCATAGCACTATAGTTGCGTAGTGTGAACAAATGTCAGGTTGCACATGTCTGTTCTATAGCTATTAAAGATGAGGATCTTTCTTCCCCTCTCAAACAGGAAGTATTTTGAGAATTTTAGTTGTTTTGATGCTTCTGTTGTTGTTCTGAACCTTCAAGTCATTTTTTACATATGGCAACCATAAGACCATATGGTTTTCTTGGGGAAATTTGTTCAGAGTGGGTTTGATCTGAGGCTGAAAGAATATGACTTCTCTAAAGTCACCCAATGGGTTTCCATGGCTGAGTAGGGATTCAAACCCTGATCTCCAGGAGTCCCAGTCCAACATTCAAACCACTACACCACACTGACTCAAGAATTTTAACAAACTCCTTTAAATCAAAATTAAATTCTCACCCATTCCAAGATTCTATGCCATTGTCATTTTTTTTTCACTTCAAGAGAACTGGGATAACAGCACTAAATTCTCAAGTGAGAAATACCAAGACCAGACCTTGAAAACATTCCTTTTCTGGGATTATGACTCCCAGAATGACACAGTCATCATGGCCAGCAGCTTAACCTGATATCATTGTGTCTATCTGCCCATATGTACATCTCCTTCTCTGGCCCAAATATAGTGCCTCCTTCAAACACAAAGCAAAGAAAACTGGTAACAGCCAATACCCTAAAGGTACCAGATTCCATCTGATCTTGGACACTAAGCAAGATCAGACCTGGTTAGTACTTTGGTGGGAGACCACCAATGAATACCAGGTTCTGTAGGCAATATTACAGAGGTAGGAACAGGCATATTCCTTTTCAATTTCATTCCTATGAAATTAATTGTATTGCCATATGTTGACGATTTGGAGGCACAGGCAGACACACAACATCCAGTAGAGGAAATATAAAAAAGAGACAAAGCCTCAAGGTGTTGGGAGAAATTATCTTTTTTCAACACCCAGAGAATTTGTCTCTTTTCTACTCTCTGCATCTCCTAACACCCTAGATCTGGCATTCTTGTCATTTGCAAAACTTGATAAAATATACTTTACCTTGCAGATAGAGGATTTGTGAATTCTCTCCTCCTTCTACCTCCCAAAACCAAAAGAAAACCTTAGCAATGTCTCCTATAAAGAAAAAAAACAGCATAGTATGGAACATGTCAGACAAGAACCTTGATTTTTTTTTTAAATTGTGGGGAGCTATGTGTTACTTTTCTTTAACAGAGGGAAGCATTTGTTCCTTCCATAAAGATACATCCCACCCTTCCAAAGCCTTTCCTTTGCTCACAGCAGCTTGCAACTGTTAAAATAAAGCAATCCCATAAACAATATAATGACAATATAAAAATGGAAACAGCCCTGCCAGATAGAAATGGGCCACCACATAAAATACAGTCTAGTGGCAAAACAAACATTTGCCAGCACAAGTTTTCATTGATTGGCAGCAAGTAAGGGAAGTAAATGAAATCCCAAGGGGCAAAGTATTCCATAATCTGTGTACTCCCCCCCCCACATACATACTCCTCTTTCCCCCCCTAACCAATCATAACTCCATCATAACCAGAATGCAAAGAAACAGCTTTTATCAGGTCAGAGGAAATGGGAATAGGAAACACTCCTTAAATATACTGGATTCAAGGTATTTAGAACTGTAAAAGGTGATTTCAGAACTTTGAACTATGCCTACAATCAAATGAGGCAAGATATATGTAATAGTAAGCCATGAGTGAGGGGACGTTTTCACACAGGCGGCTCTAAAGCCGCCTCGAAGCCCCCTGGAAGCCATCAGGAGTCATTCCGGTGGCGAAAACAGCAGCCGCCGGAATGACTCCTGATTGCCTCCGGCAGAAGCGCCTGTAATTCCTTTTTAAAAAAGGAATTGAAAAGATGGGGCTAAAGCCGGCTAGCGGCAGGGATGGCGCAGGGATTGCGCAAGATGGGGCGGGGCTTGCTGCGACGTCGTGTGAACACGCGCAGCAAGACCCCGGAGTGAGGCAGGGATGGCGCAGGGATGGCGAAGGATGAGGAGGGGCTTGCTGCGACGTCGTGTGAACTTTTCCTGCACAGAGCCGGAGTGGGGCCGGATGGAGGTAGGAATGACTCCGTCTAAAGCCCCGTGTGAAAACGTCCAGTATTCCTTAATATCCTGGAAGCAATATTCTGGACCACTTGATTCTACTGAATACAGTCTTAAATTCAAGCTCCGTCAATTTACAGAGACGGCATAATCTAATGGAATTGTAAATAGCAGGACTGTACTACAGCTTAACGGGAAATGCTACATGGCAAAAATGTGATTCTAATAAAATTTCCTCTGTCACTACAGGGGGTGTTGTTCAGCAGAAAGATCCTGAGAGTATCTCACAAGACAAAGATTAGAAACATTATGTACTTGTAGCAACCACATTCATAAATTGAGAGCTGGCATACGAACACAAAATAAGATGTTGCTACATGTACACACATGTACAAAACAAGATGTTGCTACATACTAGGGGGTGGACAACTAAGCAGGGGATAGGGGGGGCATTTTTATCCAGGCCTACCCTGATGAATTTTTGACCATTTTTGGGGGTGGGGTGGGGTTCTTTTGAGGTTTCAGCAACTGTTGGCGATTAGGGGAAGCAAATCTCCATGTTTTTCAAGTGGTTTCTGACATCTTTTAGGTGGTTTTGGAGCAAAATGTTGCTCCAAAATCAGCCCTGCCAAAAAAATTAAATGGAGAAGTCAGGGGGCATGTGGAGGCGGCTTCCCACAGGCCATTCTTTGCCCACCACTTCAATAGATTCTCCCCCAACCCCTTTGTATTCTTCCCTCATCAAATTCAAATCTACTTGTAAAAATAACATTTCCCCCCAATGGCTTGCAAGAAAGAAAGAAAAAAGGGCTAAGGGAAACAATGTATGCGGAACCAGAACCTGCAGAGTAAGCTGGGATCAACAGACAAACCAGGGGTCAATAGACAAACCAGGGTGGACAAGTCACAACTATCCCAGGTCCTGATATTTCAGGGTCCAAATATGAAACCTAGCAATAATCAAGGGGTGGGCCCTTGTGATGTTACAAAGTTGATGTCACAGGTGGCAACATTTATCTTAACATCACTTGCACAAAATGTGTTGTTGTTGTTTGTTGTTATGTGCCTTCACATCAAGGTGTGAGCTTATTGTAGTATTTTCTCGGTATGATTTATTCAGAAGAAGCTTGCCATTGTCTTCCTCTAAGGCTAAGAACATCACTCGGTGGGTTATCATAGCTTGGCAGGGATTTGGGTGTTGGTCTCCCAGAGTCTTAGTCCAACTTTCAAACAGTACAACCCCCATATTTACAGGGGATACATTTCCAGACTTACTTTGAAACACAAGACTGTGGATACTAGTGAAGCCTACTGAAATGAATGAAGCCTACTGAAATGAATGACTTAGAGGACCTAGAGATTCCTAGACAAAATACTTCTATGAGCATTTTTAGGTTCTCCACCATGACCTTGAGGTGAGCATCCACTAGAAACATACCAGAGAAACACTGAAGTATGTAGAAAATACTTAGAGAAAACTTTTTTCCCCTGGATGTGAGTAAGTTTAAACACTGGTACCATCCCAGGGATATAGGGATCATACTGTACTAAAAACCACACTGGCTACAAATAAATTATTATTATTACTACAGATTTAAATTAAAGTAAGCACCTTGCATAATGTAAGCAGCTATGGGTCCCATATTGGGAGAGAGGTGAGATATAAAATAAATATATAAAGCCCTCCAGCTACTTCTGAATCCTCTCATTCAGACATAGAGCTTGTGTTCCTCACTACTGTTGTTTGAACACAAGCACTGTGGGTTCAAAGGCTCTTGGAGCTGCAGCAAATATTCAATGAAGTTAATGGCCAGAACCCTATGCTGGTGTAATGTATAGTCAATAGCAGCAAGAAGCAAAGGGCCATGGATCCAGTGACCACGATGGAAGTAAGAACTAGATTGCTCAGAGATGTTGCCTGCCTGCTTCACCACTGCCAAATGACCCTCAAAAAAGTGCAACTACTAGGATACTATTGGATTATGGCCAATGGGAATAGCAAGCAGGTACATATTCTTAAAGGAAAGCAGCCTCTTTCCAAACAAGACACTTAAGGTACAGAAAGGTACAGAAAGAAATTAAGACTGCCCTTCCTCTAAAATCATTGTGAATTAATAACCACATAATGCACTTGAGGGCTTCCAGTGTGATGGTAGGTTTCCGTTAAATCATATTTGATATGCATATTTGATTTGATATGTATATGCATATTTAAAGTTTAATATTTCTCTACATTGTATAGGTTGGATGTTTTCTCACATGCCCCCAGAGCACTGGCAAAGAGAGAGAAATGTAATAACTAACAAAAATGATATATATATTTTTTCCTTCACCATCCCAAACACAATTTTCTCTCCTTTGTGATTATTTTTCTGCCTTGCCTTTTATCCATTAAATGTCCCTGTTTAATTTTATGGCATTGATTTAGAGTTGGTAATTATTTGGGCTTAATGGTTTTAAGGTGTCTCTTGTTTTATTGTCTGCCATCAACAGGGCCTCTTTCTACAACTTGCCTTTGGGCTCCAAGGCAGTTTATTACCACCATAAAAATGTCCTTGGTTAAATAATAAATAAGTTCAAGCCACCCCACTATCACCCATCTCTTTTTATATTGCCATTTTCATACATTTGGGGTGAATACGTATATTATTAAAGGTGAGAGAATTGCTGTCATAAAAAGTTGTTGGGATCAAGTTTAGGTACAGCACAAAAAGATGTAAGACTTGTCCAACTAAAATGATCCAGACTCAGATCAAGCACTAAACCTGAAAGTACCTAGTGAGTTAAGATACATAGAAGTCCTTTGCTGATGTAGTTTTTCAAATTAAATTAAACAAACAAATTGCTCAAAAAATCAAACAAATTTGATATATAAGCATCTATAAGCATCTAAAGTGTTAGGGAATCTTCTGAGTAATAGGTCACACTTTCTGTTACCTCCCAAATATAAGTGTAAGGATTTTAATCCATTTTTCAATTTTTAAAAATTGAAAAAGTAATTAATTAAAAAGAATTCATAACTAATCCATTGCTAATGTATTTCTCCCCCCCCCCCCATATGTTTTAATGTTAATGTGTTGTTAAAATTCTCAACTAATGACAAATGATCTTTTAGGTCATGTTTCCATGCTTTTCTTTTAGGTCATGTATATGATCTTTTAGGTCATGTTTCCATGTTTTCGCTTACATAATGGTTTTGTAACACATCAAAATATAAAAAGTAAAGTAAAAAGATCATCTCACTATGTAGAGATAAAAAAAATCATCTCACTATGTAGAGATAAATA